AAAAACAACAATGCTCTAATCTTAGATATACAAAGTCTTAACAACATCACAACTAACGATATCATTACAGCATTAGCCTCAAGTATCAGAGAAGACTTTCTAGCAGCCAAAATATATATATTTAGAGGAAAAAGTGCTTTTCTGGAAGTAGTTTTCAAAAACAACAAAAAAGTCCAGCTTTATGCTGCAGAAGGAATTACACTCTTCAAACAGTCACTTTTTGAATACATTCCAATAAACCTTAACCGTATCTTTCTTACAGTGAAACTGAGAAACATGCCTTTAGGTGAATCTAAGCACATCAGTAACCAAATTATAGAAGCCTTTAAAGATGTAGGGCAAATTGCATCAGTCAAATCTCTCCTCTTCGAAGGGACTAATATCTGCTCAGATCAATGGTTAATCATATTTGAAACCACAGATGATCCAGATATAACTAAAAGAATCCCAAGAAATACACATATTAACTATCACAAAGTTACCACTGAATGGAAAGAAGCCCCTAAGGTCTGCTATTACTGTGACAAAGAAGGTCATATTAAAAGGGATTGCGAAGAACTCAAAATCTCAATAGAAACAAGACATTTTCTTAAAGAAGCTAAAGAGCAAAGAGAAAAGGCCAAAGAACAAAAACTTGCAGCACCAGAACTGGAATTTCATGCAGACAACTCATATATTGATAACTCAGCAGAATGGGCTCAAATAGAAAAACCTATAGAGGAATTAAATTTTTCACAATCCCAAACCTGTAATGAACATGTAACCTTAGACAACTTGTTTCAAAACTTTAACAATACTGCAACTTTCCCAACTGACATGCATGTCAAATCTTCAACCAAAAACAAATCCTTCGACTCAACTAAGAGTGAGGCAAATGCTGACTTAACCTCCAATCCAATTGCTATGAATACATCTTTAGAGTCAGATGAAGAAGAATTTACACTAGTTACCTCTAAAAATAAAAGAAATAAGAGCAAAAAGAAGGATCAGGACAGAATAGCTGATCCAAGCAAAAGCAAGAAGTTCCTCCAGTGAGGCAGCTTCAAGTTAGGGCACTCCTACTAAGAACTAACACACTTAGTGTAGCTATAAATACAAACTTCATTCTCATGATCAAAATTGCTACACTGAATGTTAAAGGACTTAATAACAAAGCCAAAGCACAAAAAACATTTATTTTACTTAAGTCATACAACTTAGATATAATTACAATTCAAGA